GATGGTCATGGCACAAACCCTTCTCCATTCTCCTCTTGGGATTGTGGGCACGCATGTACATGAGCCCAGCATGAGTTTTCAGCCACCGGATCTGGGACTTGAACCATGGTCCACTACATGGGAGTCCAGCAATGTTACCATTACATCTGTTGGTCTCAGAAGGTCATTGTCTTTTAATTTCTAATATTTTATTGATGTTAAGAAGTCAAAATGGGAGCCAAACAGTGGCACACCAATAAAATATGATACTCTGGGAAACTGACCCACATGGCAATTTTCCATGGAATTTTAAAATTTTAGTTTCTACGCTTATAATTTCTAAGAGTTCTTTATTGTTTCCCGGTTGTTCTTTTAAGCAGCTTGTTCTTTTTTCATAAATGGAATATCTTAATTTGCCTAAGAATATACTTTCTCAAAGTATTTTTATGCTCTTTACTTTGTTTTCACCAAGTTCTTGTCTATCTGCTTTGGTTTCTGACTTTCAGGTTGGCCTCTTCATGAGATGTTTGGTGACCTTTGTTCAATTCCATTTAAGAGTGAGACACTAAAATGTTTTCCTCCTAGATGGAGTTATTTTGCTCATATTTCTATTCAACATTTCTTATATCTTTTATCTAGCACAAGAAGTACTAGGAGTCTAGATAAAATGGCAAAAGGCCAAGAAAACTTACCTACAGTTGACTAAATGAAAACCTGGCAAGACATGGAAAATCGAATGAGGAAGGGGAACCCAACCAATCACCCAGAAACTTATTCCTGTATATATATATTTTTTTAATTAAAATTTTTTTTTAGGTTTTTGTCATAGAGCATATGTGCTTGCTGGAGAGAGACAGAGATTGGCAGAGTGAGAGAAAGTGAGAAATCACTCCCCCAGGGAGGACAGCCATGCTGCAATCTCTTCTCCATTCTTCTCCTAGGATTTTGGACATGCACATACAGGTGCCTGGCATGATCTTTAAGATGCCAGGTCTAGAACTCAAACCACAGTTGACCATGTGGAATCCAGAGCCTTAACCACCACTCCACCTGTTGGCATCCTATATATTCTTATATTCTTAAAAATCTGCCTTCCTTGTCAGTAATCATTATTCACTTTTGAATATTTGTTTCTTTTTTGAGCATATTGGGTCTTTGTATGAATGTCTCATTTTGATACAGACCGTACCTTTAAGAATATCATTGAGCTCTTCTAACTTCCTCATTTTTTCTCTGTACTCTTCTTCTGCCCCATGAAGTTGTGGAAGACACTCAACTAGTTCATCTTCTTTTTCTTTATTAATTTGTGTTTCTATAACATATCTTTCCTTTAAAGAAAATTAATATAATTAAGAAATATTATTTTGGAAAATTTACATAGCAATTTAGAGTAGAATAAAGTTCTTTAAGGGGTGGTGGTAGCATGTGGTGTAGTAAAGGTTCTGGACTTCCACATGGCCAACTGTGGTTCTATCACAGTTGGCTCATGGCAACTCTCAGGTTGGTATGATACCCTCTGTTTAGGGAGAACTTCTGAGACTGATTTTACTAGTTTTCTTTTTCTTTTTAAGAATTATTTTATTTAACTTAATTTAATTAATTAATTAATTTTTCAGTTTGACCAGAGAGGGACAGAGAGAGAGAGAGAGAAAGAGAGTAACTGAGAAAGCAAACTGCCAGTTCTGAGACTTGAACCATGGTTGGCCACATGAGAGTCCAGTGCCCTCAACCACCATGCCACCTGCTGGCCCCAACTTTACTAGTCTTCTTATCTCTGCCTGGAAAAGGAGGAACTTGGGAGCTACCACTTAGACCCACAGAGCTTAGTCTCATGCTGAGAATGCATAACTGCTTAGAGGCCTAGACCTCTTATCTGTGGCCCATCCTGGGAAAGAGAAATAGCATCTCTCTTGCTGTAATGACCTCTTTAGAGCATCTTCTCAACTAGACATTCAGATCACCGGATCTGACTAGGCTGCACTTGACCCAGTTTACTCTTAAAACACTTATAACTTTAATTTTTCAAAGTTGTATTCCTACATAATTTGAAGGCATATCAAACCTTCTTCTCTAGGGGGAGGTGTCCTCCCAATACAGCAAATCAGAGTCTAGTTTCTCTGGAACCACCAGAACAATAACTAAGGTTATCAAGCAAGAGAAAGAGCCACATCATGACCCCCAGGGTGGATGTGATAGCCTGTCTGACTTATCCCTCCATGGTTCAAATAGAAACCAATATGTCTTGAGCATATCTTCCAGGTCCTCAAATAGAACATACTTAAAGAGTCCCCATACCCAGGGAAGCTCAACATCATGGCTTCCCACCAGCTCTTCTCCCAGTCAAGATGCAGCATACTAATCAAGGTAATTCTTATGAAAGTAAAGCTGCTTGGAAATACAACTGACATTCCACCTGCATCAGTATACTAGAGGAAAAAACCAGAAAGTTAACTCCAAGCCAGTTTTCTAATAAAGAAGGAGCAAGGACTGTTACCCTTGACTACACATCTATTTTATATTCACTATGTTTTGGCACCTCTTTGACGGAATGGCTTGGTTGCACTTTAACTATCATACTGACATGCCGGCCTGCTAGATTTCCTCCCAAATTGCCATTAGAATCCTTATGAATAAATAAATACAAAAAGACAAAAACACATATAAAAACACCATAATTTAAAATGTTATAATGCAGAAGCAGGAGTAAATTTCTCCAGATGGCAGTGTTGAGCAGGTTAAGAAATTCAGTTCTGTATTATCCATGTTCTCTAAAATAGAATAGGCTAGGGATGCAAATACATGTGAGTGCAGTAATTCATCCCTATTGTCTGCACATGGCTTAGGCTGCCAGCACTGGCCTGAGAAGGACAATGCTCTTGCTTAATGTTTTAAAAAAGTATGTGGCATACCCCAGGCAGCTCTGCTCAGCCCTGGCCAGTTGTGGCTTCTGTGCTGTTTATGTGGTTGGAGTGAAGACCTCCTTCAGATCTTTCCAGCTCCTTCTTCTGACTCCTGAGCCATGCGCATATTTAGCTCAGTAATGACAAGCCCCAGCTCCTACTGCAGGTCCCCTACCTCCCTGGAGGTGGAGCCTAGGAAGTGAGAGAGGCTTTTGAAGGTTCTAGTCCAGGCTTGAGGGTTCTAGCTCACCCTGTGAGTTCTAGAATGTCCTTGCTGTCATCCACTTCCTCTCCATCTTTCCTTTCCAAGTGCCTGCCGTGCTGACTTAAGGCCCCAGCACTAGGTGTAAAACTCACTAGACTGTGTAATCAGCTCCCACAACTGGAGAAAGCCAAATCCTATAATAAACTCTGTTCTGAGCAGGTCCGTTTATCTGATTGAATCCTGTCAGATACAGAGCTATAGGACCCAGCAGATCCGACGTGCTCAGCTTGGTCAGGGGAATGTACAAATCTGGTGACAAGCTCTGACAGGATTACTACAGTAAAGACCCCCAGAGCCAAGTCTACGGAACAGTTAGTCATAGCGTTGCATCTGCCAACACTGGGAAGTCAAAACGCTGACAGTGACTAATGTTCAGGGATCTATTCCTTCGAATTTATAGCCAGAGAGTCAAGTGGTAGTAGGACTTCTATTAAACTGAATGATTTTGCTTTCCCTCCCTGTGACTTTGGGCTCTGTCAGTTTGCAGATCTTACTACTGAAGAGGAGTAATGGTGCCACCAATGGCATAACATGGTTCCATAAGCTCAGATCGAAGACTGCTGCCTTTGGATTTGGGGTCCCCCGGGCTATTAAATAAAAGCGGAAATAGGATTCTGATGTGCCCAGGGTTATGATTATCGGGAAGAATACTGCTATGTACTAGAGGTGCCTGGGCTGCCGTTAGTCTGTGTCTGTGTAATTCAGGTGTGGATGGATGCAGCCCTGGAGCAGGTGTGCTGCTTGGTAGGCAGAGTGCAGGCCTGACCGCAGTGCTTTCAGAACTGATTTTCTCGAGTGTTTACAATCCGCCAGTCTTCTCATCTGCAAAGTCCTCTGACACTTCTATTTCATGTATCTTGCCTAATTCCATTGTGTAAACTGGAGAACAGGATTAAGTAGGATCCTATTCCTTCTTATTCATGATAGATTGCCCCATGGTCTTATCATTAAATATGATAAACTCCATCAGTATTATTGTCAAAAGATATCCAAGATCCTGACAGTCTCTTCTGTCACTGTTCTGGTTCACGCTTTGTTTCTCACTTGGTTTACTGTAACGGCTTTCTGATTGGCCTTCTTGAATCCACTGTGGCTTTCCCAAATTCTGTTCAACATTGCAACTGGAATGATCTTATCTAAATAAAAGTCAGGGTCTTTCAACCCTCTGCTCAGGACCCACCAAAGGCTTCCATCCACAGCAATGGGCAAAGAGCATTTACAATGACACGTACAAGGGTGATAGGCATGGCTCTCTTAGGGTCTCTCCTCAGGAGGAACTCACTGCCCTGTGTAAGGAGTGTGGTCAGCTGACATCCCCAGGGCTTGGTTCCTTCAAGGTCCACCCAAGCTATCTAGCCAATTTCAAGCTCTTCTGGGGGTGGACCCCAGCCAGTGACTGGGCAAGGAAGTGGTAGGAGAGTGTAGCTGTTTCTGCCCAAGGCAGGGGGCCCTGGAGTTTATCAGGTCATACAATGGCCTGAAGGCCTCCCTTGCCCAATCATTTCATAGATATTACTCCCTAATAATCTTCTGCAAGTCTATTCCTCTCAGCATCTGCTTCCTGAGGATGACTTCCCTCCTACTATCTCTGGCACCCCTTCATCTTGAATCCAGCAAAGCATCTCCCTTGCTCCCTCATCACTCTCAGACGGTACAGTCCTGATGTAGGCTCTTCACGCTTACCAAGTGCTCTGCCTGGAGCCATCTCCTTCACATATCAGCACTATTCCTCATATCCTTCAGGACTGGACCCCTCCCTGAGCCCGTATCTACAATGCACAGACCATATCTCATAAGCTCGCTCCATCTCACTTACCTGCCTGGTATTTCTCAATTGCATTTCTTACCATCCAATACAGTACTTGTTCTACTTCTGCTGTTTATTTTCAGCTTCCCCTCACTAGAATGCAAGCTCTGTAAGGGCAGAGCATTTTGTTTTAAAGCATCTACATGAAACCCAGACACTCTATGACTGTCACAGAAATCCTTCCTACCCTGACCTTTCTCCCTTCTGTTTGTTTTAGTTTTGTAGCTGCCATGCTTTCTTTCTCTCATTTTTTCCCAGCTGAGCCAATTTCTGTTTCACCTCTTCCTAGTCTCTGGCCATTCTCTTCCAATGTCTCTCCCTGTATTTCCAAAGGAATGAGCTTCCTTTGCACTTCTGTTATTATTTTTTAAATTATTTTTAACTTAATTTTATTTATTTACTTACATTTTTTACTAGCAAGAAACAGAATGAGAAAGAAAGGGAAAACAAGAAAGCAAGCCACCAGGTCCGGGACTTGAACTGCGGTCAGCCATGTGGGAGTCAAGAGCCCTTAACCACCATGCCACCTGCTGACCCCAGTTATTATGATTATTTTAACTATGGAATGTTCAATCGCAGTTTTTATCTATTCCATGGTACCATTTTTTTTTTTTTTTACTAAGTGTTTTTCATTTGTTGGAAAGTTATGTTCCCCTTTTCACTTGCTTTCCTCAAAGTACTTTTGTATGAAAGTGTATCTGCTTCTTTTTTGTAACTCATGTTAGAAAAAATTTTCTATTCTGGAGCCAGTTATCTGCACATTTTCCATAGGATCAGGTAGGGCAGACGGAGAGGGCTTAGACCAAGATTCTAGACTGAAATATCGAGGTTCCCTGCTTCCTTGCTACAGTAAGTGACCGTTTCCTGCAACAAAACCTCTCTTTGTTGTAACCAAGACCTCTTTTTTTCTCTTCCAGGCTAATCAAAGTCAGGAAGGCTTCTATCACCCGCTGCTCTACCATTGGCTGCCTTCAAGGGAGTACCTGCACCTGGAGAAGGTGTGTTTTTGATTGTGTTTTGCAGCCCTGCCCATTTGGGTCCCTAGGTACTTTCAGTGGCTTTTCTCCCTACCTTCCCCAGCTTCCGTGGCTTATTCTATCACAGTTGGCTTATGCTTTCAAGTCAGTGTGATACCCTCTGTTTAGGGAGGACTTCCAAGACTGACTTTACTAGTCTTGTCCCTAGTTACTCTCCCTAGCTCTAATGGGGCCAGTTCCAAATGGCTCCCTACACACTTCACCAAGACTGGTGCCAGCATAATTTGGAGTTATGAATTATTAATATGTCTCATTGCTCTTTCTTTTTCAGAAAAAGAAGAAAGACTTAGAATGAAATTGTAGTGGGACCAGTCAGTGGTGTAAAGTGGCTAGATTGCACATGGATGACAGGGCAGTTCAGATCATGGACCCAGGGGCATGAAGATGTGCAGGCATGTGTGTATGCACACCCAACATCGGAAAAAAAAGGAGAAATGAAGAAAGGATTGTGGCATAGGGGTGTGCACTTTCACACTTTCTTACTCTCTCCCTGGTGAGCACACTCACACTCTGGCAAACTTAAAAAAAAAAAAAAGAAGAAGAAGGAAGAAAGAAAAAAAAATTGTAGCCTTTTTCATATTAAAAGACTTATTTTACTAACTAAAATAGCATAAAATATGCCACCTCCCCCTCATAAAATTGTTCACAATTATTATTAGATGTAAAGTAAAATTTACCTCATATTTGTTTAACTCTTCTATTAACTTTTTTTCTTTGCTAATAAATTCCTCTTCCTCTTCTTTTAATTCTATTACAAGTTTTTCAATATGTAGTACAATTTCATTAATCTCCTTTTCTCTTAAGCTGGTCTAATTAGAGAAATAAAAAAAGAGAGAGAGAACTTTCAGTTCTCTTGTAGCAGCCAGCCTTACATTTTCAAACAGCCAGGTAAATTAATATCTTTTTGCATCTCATTTCAGGGTATATAATTTTGTAGTAACTGCTGGGAGGTATATTTTTTCTCTCCAGAAATTAAGTTCTTTATCAAACAGTAGCTATTTATAAATATAAATAAATATATATCATTTATGACACAAAGAATAGGAGATGGCTGGCCTCGAAGCCAAAAAAGAGAAGCAGATCCCAATGTGGTTCAGATCTCACCCCTGGTGCATGGACACACATGCCCCAAATCCCAACGGGATGGAGAAATGGAAGAGAAAGGGTTGCAGCATGATCATACCTCTTTTTGGGGGTGCTTTCTCTCTCTCTCCCTCTCTGTCTCTCTTTGGTGAGCACATATGCCTTCCAGCAATTAAAAATAAACAAACAAACGAAAAACAAAGCACAAGACAGGGAAAGACAGGTAGGCAGAGGGTAAATATAAGACCTAGATAAATTATTCTTGGGTTCCTATTTTTACAGGTAGCTCCCCTAAGGACTAATCTAAAATAAATTTCTAGTTACATGCTTTAAAAGTTTATTCTGGAGGTCTTACAACACACCTTACATATTGAAAGGAAAACCCTATCTTTCTTTTAAGTGAGAGTTTTAGAGGTCAAATGACCTTTATGGTCAATTTAGTCTCATTGATCATAACCAAAGTCTGAGGATTTACTCTTTATTAGGGGCCATCACAATGTAAATGGACCTTGTATTCTAAGAACGTTAAAAAGTACACTTTATTTTTAGTTCAACTCTTATTAATTTTTAGTTTGGAAAATTCTCACTTTTTTTTTTTTAACAGAAGGGAAAACTGTGGACCTATCTCTCTTGGGGGGAGAGGGGGTCCCTGGTCAGTTTCAGAACCACACGTTCAGGTCCAGGCAGGAGAGAGCCAGAGTGATGGAGACAGGGCAGGGCAGAGGAGAGCCCCTGGTTCCGCAATGATGAGGCTTTTGGTCAGTCAGCCTTAGGTTTAAATCCTGCCTCTCTCCTTAATCAAGGTGTTAAAAAAGCCCTAGATCACAGAGGAAGTTTTTCTTACTCTTGATGTTTGAGACAAACCCCAGGTTTGTTACATCTCACATGCTCTTGCTGGAGAGACTGAAAGACAGTGAGAGAGAAAGTGAGAAATCACACCTCCCCCCAGGGGGCATGAGCAGGCGGAGGGCTGGTTAATATTTATTCTCTGGACTTCCACCAGAGCAGTCCAGGATGGAGCTGACTGATGGAAAAAACAGATACCGCCATCCACGCCAAACCTGCAGAAATGCCATGGAAGGAAAGAAAACTTGAACCATGGAGGGCATTCAAGAGAAGAAAAAGAAGCTTTCTGCTGCAGCAGAAACCAAGAAGAAGGTTCCTGCTGTGGGGGAAATCCTTAAGAAAAAGCGAAGGAATTTTGCAGAGCTGAAGGCCAAGCATCTGAGAAATAAGTTTGCCCAAAAGATGCTTGGAAAGGCAAGGAGGAAGCTCATCTATGGAAAAGATAAGCACTAGCACAAGGAATATAGGCAGATGTACTGAGATTCGCACGGCCAGGATGGCAAGAAAGCTGGCAGCTTCTACGTACTGGCAGAACCCAAACCGGTGCTTGTCATCAGGATCAGCAGCATGAATGGAGTGAGCCCAAAGATCCAAAAGGTGATGCAGTATTTTCATCTTCACCAGATCTTCAAAGGCACCTTTGTTAAGCTAACAAGGCCTCAATTAACATGCTGAGAATTCTGGAACCATATATTGCCCAAGGGGACCCAAACCTGAAGTCGGTAAACCAATTAATCTATAAGCACAGTTATGGCGAAATTGATAAGAAGCAAATTGCTTTGACAGATAATTCTGACTGATCTCTTGGTAAATTTGATATCATCTGCATGGAGGATCTGATTCATGAAATCTATACTGTTGGAAAATGCCTCAAAGAAGCAAATAACTTTCTGTGGCCCTTCAAATGATCTTCTTCATGAGGCGGAATGAAGAAAAAGCACACCCATTTTGTAGAAGGTGGAGATGCTGGCAAGGGAAGACCAGATCAACAGGCTTATTAGAAGGATGAACTCAGGTATTGTTGATGGAAATAACCAACTCTGCAAAAATAATAATTAATGTGATTTATTTCTAAGCACAAATTTGAGTGCCTAGGCTTGGAGAGGAGGCAAAACATGCCTTTCTCAGGGTGATCAGGTAAAGGAGTTCCTTTCATTTGATTCTGAGAGTGAAAGACAAAGTTTGGAATTTAGTGAAGAGCTTTCCATTGGTCTGACCCAAAAAGGCAGGACATGTGGGAGTGGGGGCTTGTAGGTTACAGATGGGTTCCACAATTTTTAGGTTGGTGATTGGAAGGGAAGATCTGTGTCTTGGGAAGAGATTAGTAAAAAAAAATGTTTAATCTACATCTCAAAGAAGGGAAATTCTGTGTTTTGGGAAGAGATAAGCCAGAGAATGTACTGTAACCAGTTTAATATACATCTCAAAGATACTATGCCAGGGAATGTAGAAAGAATCCTGTTAATGGGAAAAATGATCTGTTAATGTTTGTGGACATGAGTTCCTCTAGGACTCTGGAAAGGATTTTGGAAAATAGGAAAAAAAGCAGTCAGACTTTAAAAAAAAAGTATATTCTGGAGAGAATTTCATCTGCTAAATTCCACTAGTTCACATACACCAAATGGATACATTTCTTTAAAAAGTTAAATAGTTCACTCTAAACGTCAATTTAGCAAAAAAGGAAAATACTGTTTAATATGGTAAGGTTTAATTAAATATTGAAGGAAGCACTGACATACAATGGAGAGGACTAGTTCCAAGTACCCTGTACTCTCATACCTCTTTAAGTAATGAAGTTCGTCTTGCTTCTGCCTTCTGAATTTTAGCCAAAAGTGTTTCTATCTGAGCTTCTACTTCAAGTCTCCAACGGTCATGCTTTTTTCTCAAACAAGCTATTTTCCACTGACTTATAATACTGAAGTTTAAAACAAAGAGTCACCACAAAATTGACAAAGTAGTTAACCCAAAAAGATGAAGGAATTCAAACCAACACAGATCCTTCTATGATTACACCAAATAGCTTCTGCTGTTAGCACGGCAAACTACACACATCCACTGAAAAATGTGATCGAAATGTCAGCTCCCTTAGTACTCTCTCTGCAAGTTGCTTCGGAATAGAAAGTTGTGTCTGGATCCAAAAGGACAGTGGTCAAGTCCCACTTGCCAGTTTACCTCCTTTAGGCAAAGGTTAGAAATGGGGATGGCTAGAGGCCTGGTGGGAAAAGAAGAGACCCAGGCACAAATACTGACAGAATCAAGTTGCTATGTTCTCAAGCTTTTCTCTTCATCACAATGTTAAAAAGTGACACACTTGGGAGCCAGCAGGTCATGTAGTGGTTAAGGCTCTGGATTCCCACATGGCCAACTACATTTCAAGGCCCAGACCTGGCGACTTGAAACTCACACGTGTACGTGCACGCCCAAAATCCTGAGAGAAGAATGGAGGAGAGGGGATTGTGGCGTGGTCATCTGTGCTGGGGGCAGTGAGGGTGATTTCTCACTTTCCCTTTCTCTGTTCTCTCCAATAAGCGTGCGTGACCAATGGAAAAAAAAAAAAAAAGGAAATAGTTACATACTTGGAGAATGGTAAAATGTGCAATTGGAGTCTTAATACTATTAGTGCTGGGACCAGCAGTTGGCATAATGGCTATGTCACTGGACTTCCATGTAGTCGACTGTGATTTGAGTCCTAGATTCGGTGGCTTAAACTCAGGCCAAGCACGTGTGTGTGCATGCCCAAGATCCCGAGAATGGAGGAGGGATTGCGGTGGGCCCATCCCCTCTGGGGGGTAATTTCTTGCTTTCTGTCTCTCTGTTCCTCTCTGTCTTTCTGGTGAGCACATGCACCCTACAGCAATTAGAAAAAAAAAAGCCTCTCCCCCAAAATAATAATAATAATAATAGTACTAGTGACAACAGTTACAATGGTTAGGCTGAAGGCCTGGGAAGCTTGGATGTAGGGGTTGGATACCATGCCCCAGTCAGCTGATGGAACCCAGATCAAACTTGCACTGCACTTGGATCTAACCCGGATGTAGTACATGGCACCCTACCCTGCACTCGACACCAGACGCTACGTAGCACAATAGTCTGCTTTCCCCCTGGACAATTCCCGTACATGGACTATTTCTACCCCTAAGACATTCCTCCTCCCTATACCCTTATAAAAATTGCTAACCCTTCCCTGGGGTGCGATTTCTCTGGCCCACTCTCTCTCTGTCAGACCATCGAAACTCGCCCGGGAGCACTCCCAATAAAGGCTCTACATTTCTATTTCTTGTGTGATCAGCCCATTTCTTACGATAATAAAATATAGGTAAATAGTAGCAAGTGCTTTCCAGGTGCACCAAACTAAAGGCTTTCCACAAGTCATCTCATTTATCTTCATGACAACTTTATAGAGCGGATACTAGTATCCTTTCCCAATTTTGGGGGGAGGGTACAAAGAGAAGTTACTGAATAACTTGGCCTTGGTCACAGAGCTAGTGAGGGTAGAGCAATCAAAGTAGCTCATCTGCAGAAGCTGGAGTTTTACCCATTGGTCTACCATCAGAAGCCTGGATAATAAGCATTGCATAAATCTTGGCAGCTTCACTCTTTGGTGATTCCACTCATCTGATCCAAAAGAACTGGTGCACAGTTTAATTTAGGAAAATTATTTCCTTGGGCTCTGGAAACCAACAAGAATTTTGCACTATTTATTAGAATAACATATACTATTAGGGCCAGCCGATGGTGTAGTGGCTAAGGAGCTGGATTCCCACTTGAGTGATAATGATTCAAGTCCCAGACCTGGTGGCTTGAGAGTCACACTTAGCACATGTGCATACATGCCCAAAATCCCAAGTAGGGAATGAAGGAGAAGGGATTGTGGTGTGGCCGTGAAGGAGAAGGGATTGTCGTGTGGCCGTCCCCTCTAGGGGGTGATTTCTCACTTTCCCTCTCTCTGTCTCCCTCTGGTGTGCATATGTGTCCTATGACAAAAAAAAAAAACTTAAGAAACAAAACAAAAAGAATAACACAACCACTAACAATATAAATAAAATAAATATATATATATATTTACCATCTCTGAGTTTCTCTTTCTAGGTTATCACTTAAGACTTTTATTTGTTTCCGATATATGTCCTTTGTTGCTCTAAAAGAAAAAAAAAAAAAAAAAAGAAAACTATGTTAGCTTTTGCTTTTGTGAGAGCTGTTAGAATACACAGGAGATTCTTGGATATATAATTCTTATGCTCAATAAGGCTATAGTCTAATTGAAGATGAAACAAACCTGGCAAAACAACTGAAAATTTTAGTGGTAGTCCATCCATGGTGGGTCATGGCCAGCATTCTGAAATGTGGAGGATGGGGTTTCAGAGCCTGTTGAACCTGAGCAAGCTAGGGGCACATGCACATAAATGTGTCCATAATCTTGGCTGACTGGGAAATTGGGGGTGGGGATCACTGCATGAGGAGAACCCATTGAGGGTGCTTCTCTCTTGCTCCCTCTCTGGAGAAATAAACAATACGACTTTATAGCAGACTGCTAGAAAGATGGTTACAGTTGGATACCTGTTGGCCACCCAAGGAATGAGAAGAGATGCTGGGGCTGTGACTGAGGAAGGGTTACTGGAGGGAGAAATGGAGGTTGTTAGAATAGAAGTGTAAGCATCAAGGGTATGAAGGCACAGGAAGAGCTAAGGTTGATCAATTGTTACGGAACTCTGGATCCTAGGTTGAGTTCTGATAAAATATATACTTCAGAAAGCCAATGTAGGGGACAGTCATAGCATAGGATGGAGGATTGCCTTGTACAAGGGATGGAAAAGTGAAGACTCTAACACAGGTAGTAGAACAACAGGCTTCTGTTTCCCCCCTACTAAGTGTTTTATGTACAGAAATGAATGGAAGACCTCAAAATAAAATGTTCCTTTATATCTTTTGAAAGGTAGAAATACTATAAAGGAAAAAGACGATATGAAAAGCTTTTAAATAAATTTTGAAGACTATGAATATTCATAAATAAATTTAGAATAGAATCACAACTGTGCTCATGTTCCTTTCTCTGTGTGAAATCACAGTATGAGCTCTCAACTTCCTACAAAAATACATGTAAAGTCTTCCCCAGGGCCTCCAAGGTTCTATATAATTTGCCCCAACCTTATTGATTTTGTTTATTTATATATTTCATACAGCCCAAAATATTTGAACAAAATATTTGAACCAGTTTAAAATAAAGCAACAATAATAAAGTTTCTTAACAATATTGGCTTGTAAATTTGTCTTTGAGCTCTCTAGTGACCAGAGCAAAGATAACAATAACTAATTATGAAATTTGTATTTCCAGGGCTGGACAATGACATAGTGATAAAACATGACACTCTGTAAGGCTGAGCCACTTGGGAAAGTTCCAGGTTCTTGTCTGGAGACCTCCCTGAGTATCCAAGGTTTGCATGTCCAAGATCCAGAGTTTACTGAGGCTAGGAGTAGATCGTGACATCAAGACCATGTTGGAGGAACTGTCTCTCTCGTGCCTCCTCAAGGAAGAAATAAAGTTTTAAAAGTTTGTTATTATTCCTAAGGTATAAAATCTGATTCAACCCAATTCCATTTTTCTGCTCTTTTGTAGGGTGTTTATAGTTTCCTTTCTGAAGCTGACACCATGAGAAAAAAAATACATGTTTAAATATCTTAATTAGTAATATAAAGCCAATTACCCAAAGAATCTACTTTTTTTGTCCTTAAAAACTTCTGTTGACATGGGCTCAAATTTTCATTGCCTCCTATCTTAGTTCTATAAGCTGGCCTCTTCAAATCATCTGTCTCCCCATTTATGGGAATATTATTCTCTCACTTGATGAGCAAACAAAAATCTGATATGCTTTTAAATGTTCTAATTTTAGTTTTGCTTTTCTTTTATAAGTTTCTTTCTTTCTTTTGTGTGAGAGAGAGAAAAAGAGAGAAGTGCCTTGACAGGGTTTCATCACACCACAATCCCTCCACCGTCTCCAGCCAGCCAGGATCATGGGTGCCTGGTGTGTTTCGGGTCGACCCAGGATCCGAACCACAGTCTTCCATGTGCCTCCAGTATTGCAAAGCAGCATCCTCTGACCTGTGCCACCATGGCTGGGCCCTAGCTCACATTTTAAATCTTTATAAAACAGAGAATTTCTTGATTTTCTTTTTTTTTATCCCTTAGCTGATTGTTTCTTATAGTTCACACCTATTTTTCACAGCCAGACATTGTTCATTAATTATTTCGTGTGTGCTAGTCTTGCTCACCTGACCAGAGATATATTAAAGGTTGTTAACTTCAAAAATTGTAGAAGAGATAACAGAAAATAAAAACCCAACATACAGCAGTAGAGGACTAGTTAAGTAAAATGTAGAATATTCTATAAAAGAAATGTTATACAGTTAGAGAAAAGAATGAGGAAAAATCCATATGATTTTTTAACTTTGTTTTGACATAGTTTCAAACTAAACAGAAACATGTAAAATATAGTATAAAGAATTCCCAATACTCTTCACCAATGTCTCTAAATGTTATCAGTGTACCATATTTGCTTTTTATCATTCTTCTAGATACAGTTTTGAGTTGAAAAATTCAGTTATAAAAGAGTACAATCAATTTTTGGGGAACGTACACAGACACATATTTGAAAGCATATATAGGAAATCTTAAGTGATTATTTCTGTGGAGAGATGGAGAGAGGAGGGCAATTCTTTTCTATTTTTAAATTTCATAGTTTTTAATTGACATATAATAGTTATCCATATTTATGGGGTACTGTGTAGTTATTTAATACATGTCTATGATGCTTAATGATCAAATCAGGACAATAAACATTTATCTTCCCAGATATTTATCATTACTATGTGTCATGAACATTCAAAATCCTCTTTTCCAGTGATTTTGAAATACTTAGTAAATTGTCCTGATGAGTTACTTTACCATGTTATCTACTCCAGAACTCGTTCCCCCTACCTACTAGCTCTCTCATAGCCTTTATCCAAGTTCTCCCTGTCCTCCCGCCCCATTCTCCATCCCACTGTTTTCGTCACTGTGCACTCAAATCTTTAGGCTTCCACTAATGAATGAGAACCTAAGGGAATTGTCTTTGAGTAGTACCTGGCTTCTCTCACTAAGCATGATTTCTTCCAGGTTCATTCAAATTGTCATAGATGACCAATTAGTACATAAAAAATACTCAACATTATTAATCATTAGGGGAATGCAAATGAAGACACAATAATGTACCATCTCACTCCAGCTAGAATGACCATTATTAAAAAAATAAAAAGTAGATCAGCAGATAGCATAATGGTTACATTACTGGACTCTCACATGGCTGACAGTGGTTTGAGTCCTGGACTCAGCAGTTAAAAAAATTCCAGGTGCATGTTTGTGCATGCCAAAAATCCCTAGAGGATAATGGAGAAGGGAGTGTGGCATGGCCATCACCCCAGGCAGGGGGGTGGAAGGTGATTTCTTACTTTCTGTCTCTCTGTCTCCGGTGAGTGTACGTGTCCTGTAACAAAAATCTCTCTAAAAATATAATAATAAAAAATTAAAAGATGGACCAGCAGATGGCGTAATTTATGTCACTGGATTGTCATGTAGTTGATCACAGTTCAAGTCCCAGACCCAGCACCTTAAAACTCATACTGGGCAAGTGTGCATGCATGCCCAAGATCCCGAGAGGAGGATGAAGGAGAAGGGATTGTGGCATGGCCATCACCCTGGTGGCTGATTTCTCACTTTCTGTCTCTCTGTCTCTCCAGTGAGCACACATGCCCTATAGCAAAAAAAAAAAAAAACTCTCTCAAAAAATTAATTAATTAATTGATTAAAATTTAAAAAGAAAAAGAATAAAGAGAAAGAATAACGAGAGCTTGCAAGGTAGTAGAGAAAGGTGAACTCTTCCACACTGTTGGTAGAAATGTAAATTAGTACAACCATTATGGTAAACAATATGGCAGTTCCTCAAAAATCTCAAACCTATGATTCAGTAATCCTGCTACTGGAATATACCCAAAGGAAATGAAAGGGGTATGTTAAATAGATACCTGCACTCTTATGTTTATTTCAGCAGTACTCATAATAGGTAAGATATGGAAACAACCCAAGAGTCCAACAACCAATCAATGAATAAAGAAAATATGATATAGATGCACAATAGAATATTATGCAACTATAGGGTCACTTTTACTCTCTAAATCACACATTTCTACATTTGAATTTAAAAATCAGGTATAGGCATTATTTTTCTAATTGGGAAAAGTAAGATAAAAATTAAAGTGATTTAGAATGGTAGAAAGAAACATCAGAAAGGGTCAGCCTTGTGATGCTATATAGGCACATTCTTCTCACTGGATCCCACCTGGTCTGTTGCTCATTTGCAACAGCTTCTATAGAATTTGGAACCTCTCTGGTCCTTCAGTGAAAGATTCAATAATAATGACTTTTCTGGTCTGTGAAATAGACAGAGCTAACTATAAACTTCCTTTTTTGTGGTCTATTGGATATTGTCCTAGATTTACTGATATCATTTATTTGCAAATGCAGAAAAATTATTAAAAATTTCAAAGAAAGAAACATACCGATGAAGATCAGTGAGTGTGATGAGTCCTTCTTCCATATTTTTGATGTCTACTTTTCTTTGCATTAGGAAGTTTTCTTTCTGAGCAATAAATGTCAGTTGTTTCTGATTTCTACCATGCAAGAACAGAGTTATTATTTGTTGAAGGTTTAAATAATTTCTTTTTTTAATTGCTCAGTGTGAGAAGATGTGAAAACACAAATAAGAATTTGAAAAGTTGTTTGGAAAGTGCAGACGATGAACTGTTTATTAGTAAAAATAGGAACAAAGACTTTTTGCAAGAGGTGACTAACTAAACTTATGTATAAGATTTTCAAGAAATTTATGAAATTTCCAGGCCACTGAAAGAACATTAACTGTAACAGTAACAACAAAATGAGAATGGTTCCATAGGTTCTACTCCATTTCTTTGAGTGGGTGTGTCTCTCCTAAGGCATGTATCTATTCTGTCGTGTTCCTTTGTGAAAGGTGAAGAAGTCAGACCAGCTTTCAATACTGGCTCCTGCATATTAATAGCAGTGTGACTTTCCACAAGTGACTTTACCTGTGGATAAGTCTCAGTTTCACCATCTATAAAATGGAGGTTACCATACCTGTCTCACTGGATGAAAGGAATACAATGTGAAATGTGGGATTTTAAAAAAGCAGTTATGTTATTTATTTATTCATTTATTTATTTATTTTTATGGTTTTTGCAATAGGGTACATGCGCTCACCAGAGAGATTGTGAAAGGAAAAGTGAGAAATCACCCCCTAGGGGGATGGTCATGCAGCAATCCCTTCTTCATTCTCCTCCTGGGATTTTGGACATGCACACATATGTGCCTGGCATAATTTTCAACTTTCCAGATCTGGGTCTTGAACTGTAGTCAACCATGTGAGAATCCAACACCTTAACTAACACTTTTTAGCCCCTAAAAGCAGTTTTTTTAATTTTTGTGTTGTTTCATTTGTCTCAACTTGTAGGGGAAAATAATGAGGCTCAGAGAAGTTTACAGTTTTGTTCAAATTCCCAGACACATAGGAGCCTGACAGTAACAATACATATTTTATCTGACTGACTCACTTTCTTCAAAACTGCTGTGGACCAAATTGCACCTTCCAACCTCTATAATTTATATGTTGAAATCCTAACATCCAATATGATGGATAGATGGAAAGATTAAGGTAACTTTTACTCTCTCAATTGTATACTTCCATATTTAAATTTAAAAATCAAGTACAGCTATACTTTTTTTAATCAAAGATATTAAAATAAAAGAAATTAAAATAAAATTAAACTGATTTAGAATGGCACTGTGGGGACAGGGTCATCATAAAGTTGGGGTATATTATAAAGATGGGACCTTTGGAAAATAAATAGGTTTGGATAAAATCATGAGGGTGGGGACCTCACGATGGGATTAGTGACTGTGTAAGAAAAGAAGCTTGCTCTCTCTCTCTCTTGCTCTCTCTCTCTCTCTCTCTACTATATGAGGACACAGAGAGAAATCAACCATCTCAAGCTAGGAATAGGGACCTAGGCCCTAGAACTGGACCATGCTTACCCCATGATCTCAGACTTTCAGCCTCTGCATCACGACAATACACAGCTCTGTCGTTTAAACTTGCCAGCCTATGGTGTTCTGTCATGGCAGCCCAAGCTGACTAAGATAAAATCCAGTAATGAGAGTAAACTAAATAGTGTTATAGTTACCTGTCATCAGCAAATTTCATGATTCAAATTGATAACTATCTTAGTAATGAGCTGAGGAAAGTTTCTGTTTGAAGAACACTAACAGTATTATCCTCATAGACTGAGATCAAATGATTGCACAACAGTCAATAGTTTAAATGATACACTGATGAACATACTTAGCTTCACCTAAATAGACCTGACCATTATAATTACCCTGCTATGCGATTTAACTCAGAGTGCATTATTGAATTTCTACTTACGTAATTTCATGCTTGCAAGATCTTATTCTGTAATACTCATTAAGCAAACACTGGGGAATGCCCATTGCTTGCTAAGCAATGTACGAGGTCTTGGGAATACAGCACTAAGACAGACTGTCCTCATTTTGTAGTCCACTGGGGCAAAGAGATTTGTATCCTGTTGATTACAACACAGTGACTGATGAAAAGGAATGACAGCAGGGGGATGTCTCAGGAGCATCCTTCTGGTGGAAGGGAGGTAGATGAGTTAGGAGTGGTAAAAGCAAAAGACGGACGAACATTTGAAAAGCAAGCCATCCTTAATAGGCTGAACAGGGTGAAAATATAGAGGTTGTGAGCAGGAGAAATGTTTGGGAGGTGGAATTAACAAGTCTTGGTGACTGAATGGAGTCAAATAGGTGGTGAAAGATAGAGGATTTCCTTGAATAATTTTCCAGTCTTTAGGTTAGGAGATTATTGGATCAATGATCAAACTCTTTTTCTGGGAAAGAGACTACAGATGCAGAATCAGTTTCTGGTAGAAATAGATATCATAGTTTGTCTGGATAGTCTCACAGGTGAAGGTATAATTATCCAAAATTTCAAGAGACTAATTTAGAAGTGAAAATAATGGGGCCAATCATGGCCTGTGGTTAAGGCAATAGAATCCCACATGGCCAACCACATGGTTTGAATCCCAGATGGAGGCTTGAAAAACACATTGGAGGGACCAGCAGTTAGCGTAATGGCTATGTCGCTGGACTCCCACGTAGTCAACCGCAGTTTGTGTCCCGGACCCGGTGGCTTAAAACTCACGCCGGGCATGTGTGCGTGCATGCCCAAGATCCTGAGAGGAGAATGGAGGAGAAGGGATTGCGGTGTGGCCATCCCCCCTGGGGGGGTGATTTCTCGCTTTCTATCTCTCTGTCTCTCTTTGTCTATCTGACGAGTGCACACACCCTATAGCAAAAACCTTTCAAAACAAAAACAAAAACAAAACAAAACAAAAAAACATGTTGGGCATGTGTGCATGTGTGCCCAAAATCCCAAGAGGAGAATGGAAGAGAAGGGATTGCAGTATGACCATGCTCAATAGTGGGTGCTTTCTCACTTTCTCTCTCTCTTTCTCCAAGCTAGCAAAGGAGACCTCTGGTAAAAATTTTTGTAAATTTTTTTTTAAAGTAAAAATAGTTGTTTCTATTGACTTAAGTCAGTTTCTATTAACTAAATCCAGATAAGGAAAGCTCTACTAAATATTTTAGAGGGAGATTAGCGGTGTGTTTATTATTATTAAGTAAAGAATATTTCATTATTGTTGATAGATTTTGAAAAGAGGGTAAGCTTAAGCAGAAAGCCGCTGCTTTGAGAGCGAGGAAAGCACCCCATAACAGCATGTCGATTCACTTATCAGTCACGGGTGGAAACATACTCATCATAGATCTTTCGTTTCTGAAGAAAAACTTTATCCTCCTCATTTAAGACAATCTTATATTGTCTGATAAGAGTATGAATTTTCCCTCGTAGATCTTTGTTTTCTAAGCGAGCTTTGTGTAGATTTTCAGCCAGCTAGAGAAAAACAAAGGAATGGAATGAGGGAACTTGCTTCCTGTCCCTTTCCAGGGTGGGCAACAAGTACACAGCTCTCTAGAGCACTGGATATATTACGTAGCACAGAACAGAGGCAAAAATGCTACAAATGTTAACTGAAGTTCAAAAATATCTAGAGGATTCTCCTGGGAGTTAAATCTAATTCAAATACTTGTAAATAATACAATGGGGTGGTCAGGAAGGTCATGATGCAGTTTTGCATAGAAAATATGTCATGACCTTCCTGACAACCTAATAGTATTATAAAGTACAGAACAGGAGGCTACACTTCACAGGTACCACACTACAGAAAGAAGGTCATAATTTCTCTCAATAATTCACATGAAAAATGTCTATTAATCCTAGATATTACTAAGGTAAAACTACCATAACCACATAAAAAGTTAACAAAAACTAGCTTCAAACAAAGAGCCTTTGGGAACCAGCAGTTAGCGTAATGGCTATGTCGCTGGACTCCCACGTAGTCTACCGCAGTTCGTGTCCCAGACCCGGTGGCTTAAAACTCACGCCGGGCGCGTGTGCGTGCGTGCCCAAGATCCCGAGAGGGGAATGGAGGAGAAGGGATTGCGGCGTGACCATCCCCCTGGGGGGTGATTTCTCGCTTTCTGTCTCTATGTCTCTCTCTCTCTCTGCCTGTCTGGCGAGCGCACGCGCCCTACAGTGAAAATCTCTCCAAAAAACAACAACAACAACAACAACAAAAAAAGAGCCTTTGTTCTTTCATAAGCGCAAAGAATTTTGGGAGGAGATAAAAAACCTTTCATCAGTTACTATAAATGCTCATGGTTATTTTTAGTCAATGAAAATAATCTACATATGGAAAAGTCAACATAACATTTCTTATACATATTTCAAAAGTAACTACAAAATAAAATCTAACTATAATTGAAAAGTCACCATTTCTGTCTTCCTACCTGTTTTATCTTGTTCAGGATTTCATTTTTTTCAACATTGGATGAATCATCCAGTTTTTCCTTATGAGTTTTAAAAAAATGCCTATAAACAGAGAAAGCCAAATAGATTCATGTTAGGACATATTTTCCTCCAAGTTGCATTTACTTATGACATTAGAAACTTGCAGTTTCTACCTCCCCACACAACATGTTTATTATATATTTGCTAAGTTGAACAAAAACCCCTACTTTTTTGAATTGATGAACTATGACTTTATTTATTTGTTCACTTAAGAAGCAATTATTGGACCAGATATATTCTAGGTACTGGAGGTACAACATCTGCAAAGTTCCTATCCTCATGAAAATTATATTCTGGGACCAGCAGATGGCATAGTGGTTACATCACTGGACTCCCACTTAGTCATCAGTGGTCTGAGTCCTGAACCTGGCAGCTTGAAACTCATGCCAGGCAGGTATGTGTGCATGTCCCAAATCCTGAGAGGATAGAGAAAGGATTATAGTGTGGCCACCCTCCCCCCCCCCCCCCCCCCCCCCCGGGGGGGGGGGGGGGGTGATTTCTCACTTTCTTGTTACTGGCAAGTGCATGCTCCCTATAGCAAAAATCTCTTTAGAAATATTATATTCTGGTGGAGTAGTCAGAGTATAAGCAAACTATCAAAAAATAAGTAATATATTTCAGATAGTGTTAAGTATTCCAAAGAATATAAAGTAAGGTAAAGGATTAACAGATCCTGAGAGTAAAAATGCTACTTTAGACGGGTTGTCAGGGAAGACTCTTCAGATGACTTCAAAAAGCCATGAATAAGAACCAGCCATATGAAGATCTGAAGGAAGAGCTTTTCAAGCAGAAGGAAAAGCAGATGATGAGGCTCAGAGGCAGGAGAAAGCTTGGTATATTCATGGAAGGAATAATGATAAGGCTGGCGGGATAGAGAGGGATTAAATCATCTAGGGTCTGAGGGTAAAATAAAAGTTCAGATTTTAATATGAAGGGGACACAGAGAAGAATTTTTAAGCAGAGGAGCAACATGAACTGGTTGATATCTTGCAAAATTATTTTGATGAATTTGTGAAGAAGAACAGTGGTGGAGAACAGACCAGGTAGAAAGCTATGGAGGTGGCCCAGAAGAGCTCGTGTTAGTTCACACTAAGGAAGTAGAGGCGGAAGTGGTGAGAAATAGGTGTGTTCAAGGGATAGTGTGAAGATGAAAGCCACAGGACCTGGTTTTGAATTTGGTTGGTGTTGGAGTTGGGTTAAGGTTAGGCAGTGAGGAAACAGGCATGGTGGACAACTCTTAAGTGTTTGACTCGAGTAAACAGGAAAATGGTGGTGCTGTGCTAACTTACTTGGAAGACTGTCAGAGAGCTGCTTCAGGGAGGTGGGAAATTGAGAGTTCTGTTTAGAACAAATGGAAGTAGCATATTAGCATCTAGAAATACTTCAGTAAAAATAAAATATACCGCACTTACATTTTATCCTCCAGATTCTTGCAGGAAGTCTTTAGGTCTTCAACCAGTTCTTCCCAATGCCGTATTGATTCATACAGTCGTGCTATCTCTAAATTGTGGTCACTAATAACCTATTGAAAATTCAAAAGAAATATGGCATCAAATTATTGACAATGATTCAAAACAGTAATTCAATTCCACTAAATATTCATGAGTCACTTATTCAACTTTTACATTGAGGTGTCCTTTATTGAATAAAAAAGGAATCATTCTGGGGCCAGCAGGTGGCAGAGTGGTTAAGGTGGTTGACTTCCGGGAATCAGCAGTTAGCGTAATGGCTATGTCGCTGGACTCCCACATAGTCGACCGCGGTTTGCATCTCGGACCCGGTGACTTAAAACTCATGCCTGGCGCGTGTGCATGCATGCCCAAGATCCCTAGAGGAGAATGGAGGAGAAGGGATTGCGGTGTGACCATCCCCCCTGGGGGATGATTTCTCGCTTTCTGCCTCTCTGTCTCTGTCTGTCTGGCGAGCGCACGCGTCCTATAGCGAAAAAACCTCTCCAAAAAAAGAAAAAGAAAAAAAAGGTGGTTGACTTCCATATGACTGACTGCGGTCCAAGTACCAGACATGGCAGCGTGAAACTTATGCCAGGCACATGTGCATGTGTACCCAAAATCCCAAGAGGAGAAAGGATTGTGGTGTGGCCATCCCTCTTAGGTGGTAATTTCCCATTTTCTGTCTCTCTCTATCTCTCCAGTGAGCATACAAACCTATAGCAAAAATCTTTGTTTAAAAAAAAGCAATCATTTTAATAGTTTTTTTTCACAAAATAAACTTGAACAGAAGTAATTTTTTAAGATTATTTTATTTTCTCTTATTTATTATTATTATCATGATTATTATTTTTTATAAAGATTTTTGCTACAGGGTGTGTGCATTCACCAGAGAGACAGAAAGGGAGGGATCACCCTCCAGGGTAGATGGCCACACTGCAATCCCTTTCCTCCAGTCTCCTCACAGGATTTTGGGCACACGTGCATACATGTCCAGTATGAGTTTCGAGCCTCCTGGCTGAGGACTCAAACCACAGTTGGCCACATGGGAGTCCAACAACGTAATCACTATGCATTCTGCTAGTCCCTTATTTATTTATTTTTTTTTAAATTTTGACCAGAGAGAGACAGAGAAAGAGAGAAAAAAAGGCAAGAAAATAAGTGTCTAGGTTGGAGACTCAAACAGCCATTGGCCATGTGGGAGTTCAACACCTCAACCACCATGCCACCTGCCAGTCCTAGAAAGAGGTAATTCTAAAAACATCAGAAAAAGTCCAAAATTTGGAAAGGGAGGAATGATCAAATATGAAATGTGAAACTAAAACAAAAAAACATAAATAAATCTTTTGAGATAAGAATTAATTTTATCTATTCATACTATTTAAAAAAATAAATTTAGAAGATGAACTCACAGTCCCCCACACTCCACCTATAAACTGGATAGAGCCGGCCAGCAGTTCTGGACACCAGGCAGCCTATGGCTGGGGGCCATCCCACCCAGGTCCTCCACGCATCCCCACCCCTGCTCCTCTCTGGACTTCAGGTTGATCTCGTGGGACTTTAGGATGAACTCGCAGCCCCCCACACCCCACCTGCAAACCTGATCCAGCCAGCCAGCAGTTCCAGAAACTAGGCGGCCTGCAGCGGCAGGTCCTTCCACTCAGGACTCGTCACTCATCCTCTGGCCCGTCCCCACTTGCTTTTGGACTCTGTGAATTTTAGTGTTTTGAATAGCGTGCGGTGTGCAATGTGCACCACACAGTTTTGTTTTGTTTTGTTTTTTCTTGTTCTTGAGGTGTTGCTTATTAGGTCAGTTGGAGGCTCACCACTTCTTAGAACCAGGGAGGACTTTAGGTCACCCAGGATCAGAGACAACAGTACCTGGTACTGTTGAGCAACAGGTAGGCCAACCGTAATAGAAATCATCAATTTTATAATCCTGTATAACTTTTTTTTTTGAGAGGTTTTCGCCGTAGGGCGCATGCGCTCACCAGACATACAGAGAGAGACATAGAGACAGAAAGTGAGAAATCACCCTCCAGGGGGGATGGTCATGCTGCAATCCCTTCTCCTCCATTCTCCTCTCGGGATCCTGGACACGCACGCACACGAGCCCGGCGTGAGTTCTAAGCCACTGGGTCTGGGACGCGAACTGTGGTCGACTACGTGGGAATCCAGCGACATAGCCATTACACTAACTGCTGGTTCCCAATCCTGTATAACTTTTAACACTCAGAGCCATCTTAAATACCTTAGGAAGCAACATATAGATCACCTGATGACTAGGAACAATCACAGAGGCTCAAGAAGTATGAGCAACCAACAAAAAGCTTCTCCCCCAAGGGAAATCACCCAACCCCAAGGGAAATCACCCAAAATCAATACAATGGATGTCATGGACATGTCTGATAAGGAATTCAGAATATTTGTAGTGATCAAATTAGCTGAGATGGAAGAGAAAAGAGACAAGGAGCTCCAGGAGATGAGGAAGTCCTTTCATGATTTGAAAGAAGAAATAGATTCCTTAAATGAGAACCAGATGGAACTTCTAGGATTGAAGAATGTAATATAGGAAATCAAAACCTCCCTTGAAAGTATTAAAAGTAGGTTAGATCAGGCAGAAGATTGAATCTTTAATGTAGAAGACAAAACATCTGACCTAGAAAGAAGTATCAAGAAGATTGAGAAAACAACCATGAAAAATGATAATACATGAGGAATATTGGATACCATCAAGTGCCCCAACATATGGATAATTGGTATCACAGAAGAGGAAGAAAATAATAAGGGCCTACATAATTTATTCCATGAAATCATGGAAGAAAACTTTCCAAACCTAGAAAGGCATTCAAATATCCAGACCCAAGAA